TGTACATCTTGCAGTATGCTGTAATGTTAAGTAAACATTAAAGGGAAAAAGAAGAATGAAAGCCATATACATCAGGTATGGCATGAGGGTGAGTAAGTGATGAGAGAATTTGCATTTTTGAGTGAACAATCCCTTAAATGGGATAGTCCACCCAAAAATGAAGATTGTCATAATTTACTCACTCTCATGTCGTTCCAAACCTGTATGCACTTCTTTCTTCTGTTTAACACAAAATAAGATATTTTGAAGAATGCTGGTGACCAAACAGTTTCGGTTCCCATTGACTTTCATTGTATTTTTTGTCCATATAATGGAAGTCAACAGGAACTGAAACACCAAAACAGGTCAACAACATTCTACAAAATATCTTCTTTTGTGTTCCACAGAAGAAGGAAGCGCATGCAGGTTTGGAACGACATGAGGGTGAATAAAGTCCTTTAAAGTATTATTCACTCAAAAATGCTAATTCTCTCATCACTTACCCTCATGCCATCCCTGATGTATATGGCTTTCATTATTCTGTGGAACACAAACCGAGATTAAAAAAAAATAAAAATCCATCTCTGTAAGTCCATGTAATGCAAGTGGACATGTCCCTCAAAGTTGACACTTCAAAAACCACACAAAGAAAGCACAACACTAATCTATGTGACCCCAGTGGATGAATCAATGTCTTCTGAAGCAAAACTATAGATATGTGTGAGAAAAATACTATAAACCATTGCTTCCAACTGTCAAACTTGGGTTCATGAGTTCACGCTTGCCGTAAATATCAGCACATTGTGAAGCCTGACATGCTTGTTGTGAAGGAGAACGTACGTAGGACCATCACTTCTTGCACGAGTTTCACAGTATGTTTATATCATGCTTCACAACGTGCGGACATTTACGTCAAACAAACACATGTAGGACACTTGCCCAGAAGCAATGGTTTAAAATTTGCCTATCACTTTGCTTCAGAGGACTTTTTTTTCCCTAAAACGTTTTGTTCCACAGAAAAAAGTCATATACATCTGGGATGACACGAGGGTGAGTAAATGTTGAGAGAATTTAAATTTTTGGGTTGAGTGTCCATCTGTTACTGTCGTGCCTTCTTGGCATGCAGTAATGACAACTGACAATTTGAGTTTAAATAAAATGAACTGTGTACTATTGTTTATTCTTCTAATGAATTCATAACAGACAGTTACAGAGTAAATTTTATTTATATAAATTAAGTGGAACTTCTTATCATTCGTATGATTTAATAAATTAAGTATTTTATGACAAAGTGTCATATGTCAAAGCTTAGACTTTTTTCATACCATGTAACAAAAGGAAAATTAAAGACTGTTAGTTTTTATTTCACATTATTCACATTATTTCACATTTATTTCACCTTTCATTATGGTATTGAATTAAGTTACAAAAAGTGTTTTCCTTCTATAACAGGTTCATTTTTTATAACAAAAATAACTGATCATTTAAATACAAAAAAAACAATAAACAAAAAATTAACATAAGTAAATATTTTATAAACTTATTAAACTTAATAAACAGATTAAAGTGCAAAAGAATTATAAAGAACAATAGGTAACACTTTACAATAAAGACTCATTAGTTAACCTTATAGTAGACCGGTAAATAGATCGGGGAGATAGACCAGTTGAGTGGGGCAGTGTTTGAAATTTTAACCAGTTGATGGAAAAGTATTCTTAAAATTTATTCAAAAAAATCAAAATTTGTAATAGAGTTTTTCACAGTAATTTTGAAGTGCCCACTATAACAATATATTCCTTAAGATAGTTTTCTAAGTTTTCATATCGTAATACAGTTAAAGGGATAGTTCACTCAAAACTGAAACTTCTGTCGTCATTTACTCACTCTCATGTTGTTACAAACACGTAAGACGTTCGTTCATCTTTGGAACACAAATGAAGATATTTCAACAGTCCATCCACTGAAAGTACACTCAACCAAAATATTCCAGTTCAAAAAGTGCATAAAGACAGAAAATGTATCCTAAAGCTTTTATTCACATACAAACATTAATCATCCAAATACATAGAGTACATCAAATGTAGTAAACAGAATCTCAAACATGCTTGAGAACCAATTAGGTGTCTTAAACCACTCGAATCATATGGGTTATTTTAACAATGTCTTTATGCACCTTTTGAAGCTAAAAGAATTTGGTTGCCTGGATAGACAAAAATTAAGAGAGAATATTAATTTGTATTTGTGTTGAAATACGAATGAATGAATCAGAGTTTTATTGGTTTTTAACAACATAAGATTTTCATTTTGGCTGAACTAATGCTTTAAAAGTATTTACAAAGAAAATGAAATGGTCTAATGAATTATTTCTTTTATGTTAAGGTTCATTGCGAGGATCAGTCCTGTCAACAGCAAGTGCTCTGCAAAATTCCAGATCAGCAAAAGAAGTGGGAAGATGGTGCAAAGGAGAAACTCTGGCCTGAACCCTCATGTGGGATTTCAACTGGCAGCTTTGAAAAAAAATTGTCCATGCTTCTTGTGTGTAACAAAAGTTTGAGTTATTTTTGAAGATTCACTATCGTCACTATTCACTTGTGCTTAGGATAAATGTTAAGAATTTTACCTATAATAGTTAGAATAGTATGTAATATATATAATAGTTTGTAACAATGTTTTGTTTGAGTCTTAACTGAATCTGTGAAAATATTAAAATGTTATTGCAAGGATTACAATTGAACAATTAAAAAAATTAAAAGTTACAAAGTTGTCATTGCTTATTTTCATAAAATAATTAAATAATTGTTTTCTTGTATTTCAATACGTTACTGAAGAAAAGACCATAAAATTACTGTATATTTTACAGTAAACTAAAAGTACAGTATACATACTGTAAATACATTTACAGCAAGTTAAATGGTACTGTAATTATTAATACAGTACTTTTACTGTAAGTTTAATTTACAGTAAGTTACTGGCGAACTGCTGCCAGTAAGTTACTGTAATTTCTACAGGACATTTTTAACAGTGCAGAAAAGGCAGCATTTGCACTGTAATCATACAGTCCTATAGAGGAGTAAAAGGCATGTCAGATGGTATGAATGGCCTGTTCTTGACTCTGCTGTAATTACAGGCCTGTGGAACTCCCTCTCATATTGAGAAAGAAAAGGCGCTGGGCCATGACCCTGTTTTTATGACTTGAAATGGTCCACAGCCCCGGCCCCGCCACATTCTCTGTCTGCAGCAGAGTTTTCCCCTCGCTCTTAGAAACGATCCTTGTTTGTGTTTATCCGTTTGACTTTCTGCTATGCTTTATCCTGAGATTTCTACTTCAATAAGCTGTGGATCTTTCACCACGTTATGCTATCACCTTTACACAAATGGAAAGATGTCATCTTTATAATGCTGAGAAGCCTGAATCATTTTTAATTTTTAATTTCAATTATTTTATTTCGTCAAGTGATCACTTAAATGCTGAAGTTTATCACATGCTGCTGTGTTAGGCCTGTAAAGTCATATAAATACTCTGAAAAAGGAACAATGTGTTGAACCTTGATACAAATTTAAATTTTTTTAATTTGATACGTGAGGCTTTTATGGCTCATATAGTGTAGTTTAGTGAAGAATATGGAGGAGAAAAGACCTCCGTTTTTGGTGCAGTTGCTGATGTTTGTATCGAAAAATATGTGTGACTAAAATATGTATGACCAAAAATAAACTGAAATTCTGATAGCTTTTTTCTAAAACTGATGTTTGAATAATCAAGTAAACATAAGTTGGTTCAGTCCAGTAAATTTTAATCTTGAAGAATTACCAGCAATATAGTTGTTATTCTATACCTAGTTCGTACCTTTACTTTAGAAAAATCAGTAAAGACTTAACCACAAAAAGACCAATGAACCACGACATGAAGATGGACGTTTTTACACTTATACTAAAAGGCCTTTGACTTGAAAAACCTTTGATTCCTCAACTTTTTACAAACTAAAGCATTCTTGATAACATCTGATTCATTTTTGTGAGTCATTTTTTTTAATTGATTTGAGTGATTTTATTTTCTGCCTCTCAGTTTGACTCCAAAACAATCGGATTGGTTGAATCTTTAAAAAGAATCGGTTCAATAGAATGTTTCTTTCTCAGCCTCTGTCTCTCCTCCGTGGGGTTTATTTGGTCTTGTGAAGGTGCAGCGGTGTTGATTGTACAGTTTCATTAGGCGGCAGACAGGGGCCTGTCTTCAGTGTTAGCTGATCTCATAGTCCCGACAGTGGGTGAGCGGGACAGAGGGAAGCAGGGGAGGAGGAAGGGAGGGTTAGTGTTTCCGCTGTTCTTGGTTTGAACCCGTTCTTCGCCAAGTCAGCCGTGACGCCACAGCCGTGGTGAGCAAGCACATTCCTCTCACGGCCATGCAATTCACCGTTACCATGGCACCCACCCATCTGGTCAAGGATCCTGTTTTGGCGCTTATAGGTAGTTTGGAAACAACTACAATTGGTGGAAAATACATTAAAACAATCACCACTGCCCTCTAGTGAACATACCAATAATACACAAGGGCCAAGCTCACAATGTGCTTGTAATTTAGAAACAGTACATCTCTGAAGAAAAAAAAAAAGCACACACATTATAGATAACGACAGTCACAGATCATTTCATCTTTTACTGTTTTGGACTTTTAACAGAAATAATATACTATATAATATGTGAACTGAATGTGTTTTTGGACAAGTGCATGTTAATTGCAATTCAAATAAAATTTAGTGTTTTAAATCTATATTAAATGCAACTAGCAAAACCATTTTTGACCTACTTAAGTATGAACTTGTTTATAATAAATGTCTTTGAAATATGGTTAAAGTACTGCCGGATATGCTTCATTTATGGTCAACTAAAATATACTTAACTGCCATTTCTATTGAAACTGGTATGTCATGTATTTAATTATATTTGTAAATACATATTTCTAATGATGAAGTTCATTCAAATATATTAATTCTAAATGTAAAAGTATTTACATGTGCTTTACTATATTATCTTTTAATATATCTTTAAAGCATGACAAATTATTACAACTAAATCATTTAAAATGTACTTTAGGTAAAACTTTTAATTTAGCATTATTATAAAGTGCACTTTTCAAAGTGTGTTAAGAAGTATAGTCGTGAAAGTGTCTCTCTCTAAGTACACTTAAGTGGCCTTTTGTTTAACTAATATTATATTATCCACAAATACAGTAAAAAGAAGACTTTAATTAAGCACACTTTTGGTTTGTTTTAAATACAATTATAACACATTTAAGAGGTTTAATCTCATTAGATGAGCCACATTTAAAAATTTAACATTAATCAACTAAATTATGCGTATTAATAAGCTATATTTATTATGCATTAAATATTACATCTTTTAAATCTGTTGTTGCCAGTTTATAAAAGCAAAAGCCAATCTGAAACGGCACTTTCCAGTGATTTTACCACAGTTAAGGTTCACTAAGCAACAAGCCTTATTTGTGAACAAATCTAAAGATTTTTAGACTCAAAACATTGATGCTAGAAAACTCACATAATAGGTTACTCATCAATACATAGCAAAGAATGAATGTTCTGGCCAAAGAACGTTGTCAAAGTATGAATTATCGAGCAACATTTCCAATCCACTTTCAGCTTAGATTCTTTTTTAACGTCTGCATTTCTTCCCCAACGTTTTCGTATCATTGAAAGCATGCCGTAATTGTTTTTTTTTTTGTTTTTGTTTTTTCTTCAGCGGTTAACATTTAAATCGGCATATACAAAGTAGCCTAATTTATCTGTAATTTCCATCTGAATGCTGAAAAGAGGTGAAGCATTTCAGAATGTCTCATCTCGAAGGTAAAATTCTTTTTGAATGGACATTCAGCTCATTATTTGGTTTTGTGTTTTTCAGCAATCAGAGAAGATGGCATGCCGGGAGGCAGGAATAAAAGCATCGGTCCTGTACAGGTACCCATAACCCCTCATTCGCTTTCATCACACCAATACTTTTCTTACAAAACAAAATCGACTTCTCCTGTCTAATGCAATGCGATGCCCTGCCCTGATCTCTGTTCTTTACCGCTCGTCTATACTTATATTTCTCTTCATTAGGACTTTTTAAAAGTCACAAATTAATTGCTCCGCCATTTATCTCAAGCTTCTCATCGGTCTTTAATATCTCTCGTGTCCACTGCAGCCGCACTGTTTGCGTTCATGCCCTACACTCTTAAAAATAAAGGTGCTTCACGATGCCATAGAAGAACCTTTTTGTCTAAATGGTTCCATAAAGAACCTTTAACATCTGAAGAGCCTTTCTGTTTGACAAAAGGTTCTTTGTGGCGAAAGAAGGTTCTTCAGATTACAAAAACACAAGAAAGAGATGGTTCTTTAAAGAACCTTTGACAGAATGGCATCGCTTGAAGAACCTTTTGAAGCACCTTTATTTTTAAGAGTGTATATCCAGTCGTGAATGGAGGAAATAGGGCTGATTCGTTTTGGGGCAAATGAAGACGAGCGGAATAGAGTTTTGGGATAAATAGCCCAACGTGCTTATAAATGGCCTTGTGACCTCAGTGTAATTTAAAGATGTTAATTTCATTAGAGGAGTCGCTGTTGTCAAGGCCAGAGCACCGGTGAATGGATTGCCTTGTCATTCTTCGCATTCATTTCCAGCTGACCTCATAAAATCATTGTGTTTAGCTGCTTTTCTGCATTTGCGTGAATAGCAGCGTTAGGCGAATGTATTTAATTCTCAAATGAGGAAATATGTTGTTTTGTGACCCTCGACATGCCTAATAATCCAAAACATGGCCTTTGAAATGAAGGTTTGTGTTTTTATAGATGTTAAATGTAACTTTGCCTCATCATGCTGAGACTATTAGACTTAAGGTCCTATTAAGTACATTTGGTGAGCAATATTGAAGCATTAACCCTGGTGAGCCATATTTATTGCACTGTGTTTGACAGGACAAAGCGGGTATAAATATTTAGCTTTGTTGGTCCATATAGTGCTTTTGTTTGCACCTGATCCCAGCACTAGAGACTGCCATCTTATTGACTCAGCCTAATTGCCTCTGGAACACACAATAAAGCACTGTTAAAGATGGCTTGAACCCATCAACTGTATTGAAAAAGGACTTTTTAGTGCACGGCCTTGACTTAAATCCTGGTTTGTCTCTTTCTGTCATATTTATATGAAGAGCGAAAATAAGGCTGATGGAATCACGCTTTGTACGCAATTCATACAAAATGTCTTTCTGCGGCTGCACCTGTCTTATGGTCTATATTGACTACAGGATGGAATCGACAAACTCTTTCACATTCTTAAAGGGATAGTTCACCCAAAAAATTAGAACTCTGTCATCATTTACTCGCTTTCCACTTGTTCCAAACCTGTACGAGTTTCTTTCTTCTGTTGAGCACAAAATAAAATATTTTGAAGCTGACGGTAGCCTTAGTATTTTTGTCCATAGTAAGCAATTAAATGTCTACCGGCAACGGTTTGGTTACCAGAATTCTTTAAAATATCTTCTTTTGTGTTCAGCCGAAGAAAGAAACTCATACAGGTTTGGAAAAACTTGAGGGTGTCAATGATGACAAGAGAACTATCCCTTTAAGGTGCGGTTACATTGAGGGCAAAAACGTCCATTGTCTATTTTTAATAGTATAGTGATGTATGAAGCACAACTGAAGTCACTTTCAAACCAAGCAGCTTTCTGTTGGTCAACGTGGCAAAGTTGAAAAAATACTTCTCAAAAATCCCCATCGTGTTCCTATTGAATCTATGCAATATTCCGGTAAATGAGACCGCAAGTCTTACTAAATATTTTGCACACTTCAAAAATGAGCAAATCCATGGTACCACCCTAAAACGGCTGCGAAATTTACACAAGGAAATCTGTCTCCCTCCCACAAAACTATGGATTCATATTTCAATAATCTCATCGGCAAAACTGAACAAAGCTAAATCTGATTGCATCTTTACTCTTTATGAATGGCTCATTCAGTACTATGTTTTGCACAGTTTTGATCAAAAATCTCTCTGCGTAGATTTCCGATGAGGAGATCGAGCGGATTATGTCTGGACAGGAGTTTAAGGATGATGCCAACATTCCAGAACACACTTGGGGAAACAACGGCGACAGTGACCACAGTTCCCCTGGCAACGGCGTCTCCGATGGGAATCAGCCATCGCCTGTAACCACACTTTCATCCAAGTGAGTATTCCCTTCTCCGCTGCAAAAACAGCAGTTTGTGGGAATAAGGACAAATTTACAGATCAGATTACATTTAGATTTTAGATTACATTTAGATTACATATTAGATTACAAATTTAGATTACAGGCTTTAGCTACAATGAACATGAATCGAAAAACAGGATTATTTTGCCTTAGATGCATTAAATAAAATGTTCTGCACAAAAGTACAATGTATTGTAACCTATTTTCTTTTCGTCTTCCACTTCCTTTCCATTTCTTTCTGACAAAGTCACTCTGTGGAGCTGAATGGCTACACCGCTGCTTTGAGGGAACAGTACATTGGAAATGCAATGGCCCAGCACTACCAGTTCCTGCCTCACCTGTTTGGATACGCCACCCAGCCGCGGAGTCTGTACCCCCAGAGTCATACCCTCATTAGCCAGCTGGTGGCAGCAGAGGAACTGGCCCCACTGGGCACACCCATGCTCATTGAGGATGGGTAAACAACACTGTCAATCATTTTACAAGTATTTACATTCTCAAATCCTTACGTAATGATCTTTTCTCTTTTGCACAGGTATCGGGTCACTCAGGTGGAGCTGTTTGCGCTATTGTGTCGGCTGGCGGATGAACTTCTCTTCAGACAGATCTCCTGGATCAAGAAGCTTCCTTTCTTCTGTGAGCTGTCCATCGAGGACTACACGCGGCTCCTGAGCGCCACCTGGCAGGAGCTCATCCTGCTGGCCTGCCTGACGGTCTACAGCGCCCAGGTGCTGGGTGACCTCGCCAACGTCACCGACAAATACACCCCATCAGACGACGAGCTGCAGAGGTGAGGAATGTACAGCTTATGTCACACACCTTTTATTCGCTCGTCTATGATTTTCAAACATGTAGCTGATCAGTTTGGATCATTAATAAGAACCAATACAGTGATTCATCGGAAATCGCTAATAAAAATCTGGGCCTGAGAAATATCTCCTTCCTGCTCTTCTGTGCATGTAGGGCTTGTTGTGATCCCTAATAGTGCTAAATCACGGTAGTTAGACTGTTCTCCATGCTTCAGGTACTCTCAGGCATCTCTGTACGGAGGTGGAGACCACTGTGTGTGTATGTGGGAGAAAGGCAGAGTAAAGCAGACGTGTTATGTCTCTCTCTCTCCTCAAAAGATTTGTTGCTTTTATGTTTGTAATAAACCTTTTGAAATGAACTGCTGCATTTGTCAGATTTTTTCAGGTTTTTTTTTTTTTTCAGATTATCTTAATCAGTACAACAATCTAAGTGAAAGGATGAATTAAATGTTATATAATGTATATTTGCAAATATACATTATATAATGTGTAAAAAAAGTGCAATTAAAGGGGTCATATGATATTGCTAAAAAGAACATTATTTGTGTATTTGGTGTAATGCAATGTGTTTATGCGGTTTAAGGTAAAAAAAACCCATTATTTTCCACATACTGTACATTATTGTTTCTCCTCTATGCCCTGTCTTTCTGAAACACATCGATTTTTACAAAGCTCATCGGTCTGAAAAGCGAGGTGTGCTATGATTGGCCAGCTATCCAGTGCATTGTGATTGGACGAATACCTCAAGCGTGTGACGGAAATGTTACACCCCTCACCACATTGTGATGATGCCCTGTCCAGCCGGAGCGACGAGACAAAAACATTAAAACCCATTATAAACGAGGCATTTGTTGCATCCAGTGGGGACATAATTACTGATTATAATGACTTATACCGTCTTGAAAGCGTACTTACAGGCTGTGAGTCAGCATTATTTGTCAGAACACCGGCATTGTAGGCTACTCTTCCAGGATCAGGAAGCAGTCCTCTTCCTCTGTAAAATTTGCTGCACACATCTGAATATTTGGGTTGAACTGTTTTGGAAAAGTGTTGTAAATACAACTTAACCACTGATTTCTAGTCGTGTCCTCTTTTGGAAGGCCAAACAAAGTAGTTTCGCTTTCACAACGAAACACACAGCGTCTCCACAACATGGCGGCGGTGGCAGCAACAATAAAGTTACGCCTTCTCTCTTTGCGTGAACATTTGGGCGGCGTTATGCAAATCTTCCCACATAGTGACGTAGACATGTGGGGGCGTGTTAGAACGAGCCATTTTAGGTAGGCGTGGCTGACTCTTTACTTTTATAAAGAATATCTCTTTGGATTTGAGACTTTAGTCTTTGCAACTTTACAGATCTTCTTTATGCACCAAGAGCTTGTAACACTCCAAAGAGAAAGGAAAAATTTCAATCGCATCATATGACCCTTTTAATTTGATTTTTTAATTTAATTGTTGTATTATTTATAGATTTTTTGTGTGTTTTTAAAAGATAAGTCTCTAATGCTCACTAAGGCTGCATTTACTTGATCAAAAACAGTAAAATAGTATTATGAATTTTTTTCAGTTTTTTAACAGATTAGCTTGATCAGTATAACAATCTGAGTGAAAGGATGAATTAAAATGTATATAATATATATTTGCAATTTTTGTGTAAAATGAGTGTTTAATTTAGATTCTTTTTATTTAATTGTTGTATTATTTATAGATTTTTTGTGTGTGTGTTTGAAAGAAGTCTCTGATGCTGCTCTGAAGGCTGCATTTATTTGATAAAAAAAACGAATGAAAAAATATTATAATTTTAAATACCTTTTTTCTATTTGAATGTATTTTAAAATTTAATGTATTCCTGTGATCAAAGCTGAATTTTCAGCATCATTACTCCAGTCTTCAGTGTCACGTGATCCTTCAGAAATCATTCTAATATGCCGATTTGCTGCTCAAGAGACATTTGTTACCATTATCAATGTTGAAACCAGTTGTGCAGCTTAATATTTTAGTTGAAACTTATATACATTTTTTTTTTACTTAGAAATCTTTTGTAACATTATAGATGTGTTTAGATTTGCATTTTGGTCTAATTCCAGGCCCTCGTGCACATTTCTAGAGCCATGATTAATATACCTGTAGCCTGACGAGTGAAATACTAGTGCTGGCATGGAGGAGGGGAGTGTTTGTGGTGTGTGTAAATTAGTCCGCAATCACCTGACCTCTGAACCATCTCTTCTTGATCTCCTGGGTAGATTTACTGTTGCATGCTGGGCGGAAATGCCGGTCTGAGGTAGTGAAACATTCCCGTTTACTGTGCAGGTTTACACTGAAGATCATGACCTACCATTAGGGAGGGATTTAAAAGAGTCTAGAGTAATTAGAGGAGAGCAGCAGATAAACGTAGAGACCGATCAGTTTAGAATAGAGCCACAAAGGCTGAGAAAAGCACTTAGACTGAATGGTGCTGGTACGTCGAGGCATGAGTTCACTCTTTAGTGATGACTTTATGGAGTAATTTAGCACCAAGACACACCTCATGCTGTGCTTTATTGCTTTAATTCTTATTTTATTTCTATTATTACTCAATTCATGTGGTCTCCCACTCAAACATATTCTTATTATCTGATTAGTAACAAATTAATCTCATAAACTCTGGTTTAATGGCTAAGAGGATGTACACAAATATAACCACAAAGGAAATGGAATCAGATGATAGACCAACATTTGTCACAGGTTTACTAAACTCACATGTTTTCATATTTCCTTAAATTAAAATATTACAATAACATTCATATTTTTTTTAAACGGGTGTTAGAACATTTCAGACATTTCTATATATAATTATATGATTGAGTTCCATATGTGTAGTTTCAGTGAGGATGGGATGGAGGTGATGGAGAAGCTGATCTATCTGTTCCGTAAGTTTCATCAGCTGAAGGTCAGCAATGAGGAATATGCCTGCATGAAGGCCATTAACTTCCTTAATCAAGGTAAAACAGCAAGTATTTCCACTATAATACAATATTACATTATATACTGTGTGCTGATGCTCTTCTGACTCTTATGATAATCACTGCTCACTGCATAAGCACTTAAACAGATCTTCAGAATCAACAATAATAGAGCCATAATATCGTAATCCAAATATAACCACAAAGGAAATGGAATCAGATGATAGACCAACATTTGTCACAGGTTTACTAAACTCACATGTTTTCATATTTCCTTAAATTAAAATATTACAATAACATTCAAATTTTTTTTAAACGGGTGTTAGAACATTTCAGACATTTCTATATATATATATGATTGAGTTCCATATGTGTAGTTTCAGTGAGGATGGGATGGAGGTGATGGAGAAGCTGATCTATCTGTTCCGTAAGTTCCATCAGCTGAAGGTCAGCAATGAGGAATATGCCTGCATGAAGGCCATTAACTTCCTTAATCAAGGTAAAACAGCAAGTATTTCCACTATAATACAATATTACATTATATACTGTGTGCTGATGCTCTTCTGACTCTTATGATAATCACTGCTCACTGCATAAGCACTTAAACAGATCTTCAGAATCAACAATAATAGAGCCATAATATCGTAATGACTTGAAACAGAAAAGCAAATGTTTTAGTTTCATATTTCTGCATAAATGTCCAGCATCATAACATTTCTTTTTGTGTCTCTAGATATCCGCGATCTGACCAATGTGACCCAGCTGGAGCAGTTGAACAAACGTTATTGGTACGTTTGTCAGGATTACACTGAGTACAAGTACCCTCACCAGCCCAAACGCTTTCCCGAGATCATGATGTGTCTGCCAGAAATCCGCTGCATTGCAGGTAAGTCCAAAAACAACACATTTAATGTATTTAATAAAAAAAAAATTGCATCCATTTAGCGGTCAGATTTCACCCTTCTCCCCTCGTTTTTCAGGGAAGTTGGTCAACATCCCTTTGGAGCAGCTCCCCCTGCTGTTTAAGGCAGTATTGCACTCCTGTAAGTCAAGTCTGAACAACTACAGGACAAGCTCCCCCCCCTGTGTGACAAAGGGTACCGCCCCTGCCAACTAGCCCCGCCCCCTTGAAAACACCCTCCCCATCTATTGCACGGGGGTGGGTGTTATCTGGGGGTAGGGCTCCCGGTATCCTCCTCCTCCTCTCATGAATGTGACAAGAAACTATTTTATGCATTTTGTTTAGATTAGTGTTGTTTTTTCTCTCTATTTATTACCAGACAGAGCTGAATGTATGTTGATCCACACTGTGCAAATGCTTCTTTTCAAATGAAAATGCACAAAAAGCGCAGTGGATTTCACATGCTTCAGTCCAACTGCGATACTACTACTTGGTTTTATTTTATACCGCTGTTCACTTTCTGCTGATAGGGACAGATAAAGGAATTGTTTAATTGTTTAATTGAAAGACTACCTCAGGAAGAAAGCGTTTCACGTGCTCCCTATCTGTTTTGCGATGCTCCGGGCCGTTAACGTCGACACTGTGCCTCGTGTTTGAGAACATCTTGTCATTTCTTACGCATTTGCGGTGCGCTGCAGTTCTCAAACACACGCTTGGTAGTCACGTAACTTTATCTTTCCATACAAGGCTGTGATGGAGAGCGTGATTGTTTACACAAAAGAGAGGTGTACGGGAATGTTTCACAATCATAGGCTGGGGACGAAACGACAACAGAATATGTGTGTTAATATTGTTGATTTCTTTCTTTTTTTTTACCAAAGTGTTATGCATATTTGGAGGGAAGTAAGCCCTTGTTGAAAATACGAGAGACTTCTGGGGAGAACAGCGGTGTCCATCATTAAGCTGCACAATCCACATGGTTTGCACTCAGGGGCCGTTTACACGACAACACTTTCATCCAAAAACGGGAAGCTTTTTATGTGTTTTGCCTGTTCTTTTAAACGACAACGGCGTTTTGCGGACTGAAAACGCATATTTTTGAAAACGGGTTTCAAAGTGCAAGTTTTTGAAAACGTCACCGTTATCGTTTCCGTGTAAACACCCAAAACGGGAATCTGCGTGCGTAGTACGTGTTAGGTATGTAGACATGCGCAGTACGTGTCGATTTTAAAGGCAAGCGCGAACAAACATACACAACAATGGCGGAGTACATGGTACTGTTGTTGCTGCTCAAGTTTGCTAACGCTTCTTCAGCAAAGTGTGGATTAACTTCACCAATATTACAACCAACAGCGGAGATGCATCATATACAACATATAATCGTCACTTCCCTACAGGCACTGTTTACTTACAAGGTGACAGCGCCAACGAATCGTTTTGAAAACGCCATGTATACGTGAAACTTTTTAAAAACGCAAGGAAAAATCTTTTCCGTTTTTGACTGCATCGTTGTCGTGTAAACGTAGCCTCAGTCCGGCAGTGAAATGTGGTGAATCTGCTTTCTTATTTCGGAAAAACAATCGGTTCCTTAATTTGGAACACTC